AAAGGTTCGCGAAAGGTCCGCGAAAGGTTCGCGAAAGGCGAATCCTCCCGGACCCAACCCTGGCCCAAAATGGGCTAGTTCTTTCTGCATTGTCGCAACTTCAAAATCTTTTTCAAAGAATGGGTGCAAAACCAATGTCCAGAAGTCAAACGCCCTCACAGGAGCACTGACTTGCCCAATGCCATCGACTCTGTGGGCTGGAACAGACTCATCACGCACAGCAGGAATGTAACTAGAGCAGCTTTGAAAACGGATCTCCAATCAGTAATGTTTTTAAATACAATCCTCCTCCTGTGAATCTTTGACGAATTTGCACACGAAAACCCGATCATAATCCCATGTCCCGATTCTGCTGGGGCGCGAAAGGGCGCGAAAGGTTCGCGAAAGCGCGGCGTAAGGGCAGTTTTCGGGTACCATAATTTTGGACAACCCCCATATAAGGCCTATTTTTTAGGCCTATATAAGGCCTATATAAGGTCTATATCCTGGAATTCCCATTGAATTTCTGTGGCTTGAAATCATCTTTTAGTCACTGGTAAACTAACATAGCCATGGAAAATCACTATTTTCAATGGGTAAATCCGCTATAAATCACCATTTTCAATAGCAAACTGTTAGTTTACCAGAGGGTAGTCACTCAGCCAAAGCATGTTCAGTCACCTCCCGTTGCCAAGTCTCCATCGCGTGCTCGCTCCCCCGGTTGAGTCAGATCGTCTCACCACCAGGGCTGGGCGAATGGCGAATCTGTTGCCTGCGCCCGTGGCGAAAGCCGTGCAGGCGAAAGAGGTTGCACAGCAGGGGTTGAGAGTCTCCAGTTTTTCACATCTGAACGGAAAACATCTGCAAAAATATATGGACTTTGCAGGAATAAACATGCCGCACCCGAACACTATGCCAGATACAATGCCAGAATATACATGAGACATCATGAGACAGAATGTCACTTCGATTCTTTGAATATTTATCAGAATGTCAGAATCTATGTCGGATAGAATGCTAGATAGAACGTCAAATAGAATGACAGAGAACTTGAGACCATGCCAGAATATATGGCAGGTGTTGTTTTCTTTTGCTAGATAAGATGTCAGATAGAGTGAGAGATCAAGTGCCAGGTGAAATGTCAGAATGCCGTAGAACAGGCTGGATACAAACACAGACAACATCTCCCATAGATTCCAGAATGCATGTGGTGGTTTCCTGAAATGGGGGTACCCAAAATGGATGGTTTATAAGGGAAAACCCTACTAACATGGATGATTTGGGGGTACCCCTATTTTAGGAAACCTCCATGTCAGAATATATGCAAACGATAGAATGCCACAGAAACGATGCCGACGGAATGTCAGTTGGTGATCAGAAGATTAAGCCCGAGATCCATTTTTCAACGCTGGTAGATCACCTGATGCTGGCAGACTTTCAACCCAGTGGGGGTTAACGAGAGAACATGGAGAGAACATTTTCCTCCCTGAAATTCACATAGATTATATAGATTGGGAAAAGCCTCCATTTGTAAAGCATCATTTCTTCTGATTCAGTGTAGGAGTTTTGAGTTTTATTTGATTGAACATATACACACCCTGTGCAGTGATATTATACATATCAAATGAACATCAGTATGTCAACTGTAGTTTTATATGTTTGTACATGTTCAATCATACTTACCATCTGGTTATTTAACATAGCCATGGAAAATCACCATTTTTAATAGGTAAACCATCTATAAATGGGCCATCTATACCATGGCTATGTTAAATAACCAGAGGGTATGTTTCATTAGACAATATATCAAACTCCAGATATTTACTGGATGTATAGCATATCTGGAGTGGATTTCATCAGAGGAGACCATTGCCTCGGACATCCCATCGCAGTATTTTTTGAGCCATTTCAAAGTTGATGTTGGCAGAATAAAAAATACCAAACCCTATTTTTTCGCAACCCCCAAATAGATCAAGCAATAATTTTCTATTAAATTATATAGTTCAATAGGATTTGACTCCAAGCTGCATCTTTTCTGGGCTTTGCTACATTACCTCCAGCCGCAAAATGCGCTTTAAAAATTCAAATTCTCCATGACATGCGGCCAGTCCTCGTCTCGGAATCGCCCAAAAAACAGACGCGGAACGAACACCTTCCGATGTGGAGGACCCGGCGGACCCACAGCAGGAGAGCAGCTGGAGAAATTGCTTGGACCTTCTTGGACTTTGTCATGAACAAATGGTGGATCCAATGGATTTACCCCCTGGTTATGACATTCACAGTTCGCCATGGGATTTCGATGGCCCTAATCGAAATAGATGGTTTACCGTTCTTAATAGCATGGTGATTTTCCATGGCGAACTGTTAAATTTAACATAGCCATGGTATAGATGGCCCATAGAAATAGATGGTTTACCTATTAAAAATGGTGATTTATTGGGATTTAACCACTATAAATTGATGGTGATTTGATGGTGAAAAACACCCAACCTGGTTATGACATTCACAGTTCGCCATGGGATTTCGATGGCCCTAATCGAAATAGATGGTTTACCGTTCTTAATAGCATGGTGATTTTCCATGGCGAACTGTTAAATTTAACATAGCCATGGTATAGATGGCCCATAGAAATAGATGGTTTACCTATTAAAAATGGTGATTTATTGGGATTTAACCACTATTTTGATGGTGATTTGATGGTGAAAAACACCCAACCTGGTTATGACATTCACAGTTCGCCATGGGATTTCGATGGCCCTAATCGAAATAGATGGTTTACCGTTCTTAATAGCATGGTGATTTTCCATGGCGAACTGTTAAATTTAACATAGCCATGGTATAGATGGCCCATAGAAATAGATGGTTTACCTATTAAAAATGGTGATTTATTGGGATTTAACCACTATAAATTGATGGTGATTTGATGGTGAAAAACACCCAACCTGGTTATGACATTCACAGTTCGCCATGGGATTTCGATGGCCCTAATCGAAATAGATGGTTTACCGTTCTTAATAGCATGGTGATTTTCCATGGCGAACTGTTAAATTTAACATAGCCATGGTATAGATGGCCCATAGAAATAGATGGTTTACCTATTAAAAATGGTGATTTATTGGGATTTAACCACTATTTTGATGGTGATTTGATGGTGAAAAACACCCAACCTGGTTATGACATTCACAGTTCGCCATGGGATTTCGATGGCCCTAATCGAAATAGATGGTTTACCGTTCTTAATAGCATGGTGATTTTCCATGGCGAACTGTTAAATTTAACATAGCCATGGTATAGATGGCCCATAGAAATAGATGGTTTACCTATTAAAAATGGTGATTTATTGGGATTTAACCACTATAAATTGATGGTGATTTGATGGTGAAAAACACCCAACCTGGTTATGACATTCACAGTTCGCCATGGGATTTCGATGGCCCTAATCGAAATAGATGGTTTACCGTTCTTAATAGCATGGTGATTTTCCATGGCGAACTGTTAAATTTAACATAGCCATGGTATAGATGGCCCATAGAAATAGATGGTTTACCTATTAAAAATGGTGATTTTCCATGGCTATGTTAAATAACCAGAGGGTACCCTAGGGTAAACGTTTACATAGATGTGAGAAAACCCATGGTTTCCGGAAAATCGTCTACAAATGGTTGATTTTCCACGTCTATGTAGACGTTTACCCTAGGGTATTTCAGGGCTGGACGTATTGTAGAAATACACTGCTAGAATCTGCTAGATGGATAGACGGGGAGAAGACCACTGATGAGGAGAATCACTATAGCAACCCCAAAAAAGATATAACAGTTAACAATACATTCCTAAGAAACTAGTAGAGTAACCATCTACATTTCTATGATTTTCTATGTTTGTTCGAGGTCATCATGATATATTATAATCGCTATAGACTATAAACCTTTTATCAACCACTGACGAATCCTACACCCTTCAGACACCCATTTTCAAGGGCTTTTTTTTCCAGAAGGAACCGGAAAAAATGGCACGGTTGAAACAACCGGAATTCTTAAGGAAACCAGGAAGCCATGGTGTTTAGCATCAAAGATGGAACTAGGGTACCCAGGGTATCCACAAATTCAGCGGTGAATCGGCATCAGCGGATTGGCTGAATGCAATGCTTTTTTGGGTTTCCTAACATAGGGGATCCCAGTCGTCACCACGAAAATGGTCTATATAATGATACTGGTTGGTGGTTTCAAACATGACTTTTATTTTCCATTTCATATATGGGATCATCCTTCCCATTGACGAACTCATATTTTTCAGAGGGGTAGGTATACCACCAACCAGTGATATATGATGACTTGGATGAGGGGTAGCTCCATTTTAGGAAACCTCCATATGGATCATAAGGGAGATGGGCCGAAACCCATTATCACCATGTTATATTTTGGAATAAACATCCATTGACTCACCTATTATAGGGTACCTAGGGCCTCCTAGGGTACCAGGGTTTTGACTCATAGGCATGTAGATGTATATTCTCTGGTAAACTAACATAGCGAACTGGAAAATCACCATTTGGAAAAGGTAAATCATTTGTTAATTAGCCATTTTTAATAGCTATGTTGAATTAACAGAGGGTATATTTCATCATATGTAACCAAATATTAATCACTAGTCACCATTCATCACCTAATATATAACCATTAATAACCATTAATAACCAGTAAATTAACAGAGGGTAATGTATAATTTCAAATCCCTGACGCCAAATCTTGGAAAGCCATCACGATGGGCCCAGCCTGCTCCGCTGCTCTACACCAGATTCGTCCAACATTTGCCGAGCGCAGAAGCGGAAAAAATGATGGCACCGGAACATCTCCATTTATAATCTATTAAGAAGCAACCCCAAGATAACAGTGGGAAACATTGAAATATGTATTTACATATATATATATATTATTAACATATAATAACACGTATTAACATATATTAACATATATTAACATGTATATATTAACACGTATTGACATGTATTAACAATCGTCAAACTAAGCTCATGGCTTTCACGGTGCCTCCGTGAACGCGGTGGATCGCCGCTTCGGTGTTTTTTCCGTTGGGGCAATGGCTGGCAGATTTTAGAGAAACCCAGTGGCGTTTGAGAAATATCTCAAATACATCAAATATGGCTATGGACCAATACCTATTAATACCCTTTTTAGTGGGATGAACATCCATTTACCAGCTATTTTGATGTTCACCAGGGGTACAAGGTTTTGACACACTGCCATATATTACTTGTTGGTGGTTTGGTACATTTTTTTTATTTCCCCAATAGTTGGGATGACGATCCAATCTGACTTTCATATTTTTCGGGTTGAAACCACCAACCAGTTAAATATATCAAATATATATTAAATATATGAAATATATCTGATCTCCCATCAACAACCAATGTTTTGTTTGGAAGATACAACCTGCGGAAGGTTGACAGCTGAAACTTGGAACATACTGCTGGACCTCACTGAACATACCGAAGACACGCATTGAGGGTGTCATGCAAAGATGGCAAGCATCCAAAAAGAGCATCCTTTCTCCACATGCATGTTATTTTTGTTTTTTATGGTGTCAAATATCATTTTCACAAACAAATGCACCCCTATAGCCTATAACTGATATGATGTTCCCAAGCATATATATACTGTATATATATATATATATATGTTTTTTCCTAAAATTAATTAAACTGGGTGGTACCTCTAAATCATCCATTTTCTTTTCGGATTTCCCATGAAATAAACCATCCATTTCGCTTGGGGTCACCATGTTCTGGGACAAGGCTTGACCGCCGCTTGACGGGACTTTCTCGCCATGTTTCGCTCGAGCTGTTTGTTGGTGCGGAAGATGCCGGAGGGCCCAGGAGCAATACAGTGTACGACTTCCCCTGGGGGATTTTGGCATTTTGATCATTTTTCTTATTGAGGCCCGTTAAGGCTCTAGATCGAGAAGTGGCTGCGCTTGAGAAGCCAAAACGAATCCCATCCGCCTATTCAACATATTTCAACATCCCCAAATGGTCCCAACATGTCCCAAAATAGATCTGGGTAAATTTGATCATGACCTCACTGTGATCGAGCCCTGGAATTTTCTGGTTTATTTTAGGGAAATGATCCCCAAACGGCCGCAAGATTCAGGTTAGTGAATTATTAGAATTTACCCAGATAGATGTAAATCATTGTAAATCCACTACTAAACCATGGTTACGGGGGAGTGTTTCACCAGCTGAGTTTTTTTTCCGACGTCGCAGCAACTAAAACGATGTGGCAATGGTGTTTTTTCCCGGTCCTTTGTCGCAAAATGGCAATTTTAATACAGAAAACCTGGGAGAATGATGGTGGATTTCGGGGTACCCGGGTTCACCGGGATACCCCTATTTTGAGACAAACCCTAATGGTGAAGTTCCATGGTGAACCATTGACATTTTTGCCTTGCTCTGTTGTCACTTGGAAGTTTTCATGAAGGGTTGGTAGATGTCATTGGTAAACTCTTAGTTTATAGTTTTTGTTTTGCTTGTTTGCGGTTTTGCGAAATGGCCGCATTTCTGTTGAATAAAGAAACAATTCTGGAAAAGCAGTAGTTTCATTAGGAAATGATCTAGGAATTTGGTGGATTTTCCCTATGTGTTAACTTTCTGACGGGTAGCACGCGAAGTAAACCAATGGTGTGTTGCCTGCCCTGTAGGTTCTTGCCCTTCTACTCAAAGGACGGGGAAGAAGCGGTTTTCCAGTACACAAGAAGATGGTCATTGCCCCCTTGGACATGCATCCGAATATATAAGATTATACAAGTGCATATTATGCGTGCATTGTACTTGGTTCAGACTCATTGCAGTAAGCCACGAATGGGTCCAACTTAGCATATGATTACTGGTTGGTGGTTTGGAACATGAATTTTGTTTTTCCATTCAGTTGGGAATGTCATCATCCCAACTGACGAAGTCATATTTTTCAGAGGGGTAGGGCGAAAAACCACCAACCAGATTAGTTCACCTTCCTTTTACAGAGTTACATCTCGAAAACGTGGCAGCAAGATGCAGCGTAAAAAAACCAAAGTGGCACTTCTGGGGCTGGAGATACCATGGCGGAGGTTTTTTTTAACAAACGAAAGCGCTGATGGCGTGATTTTCGCTGGTGCAAAATGAGATAGTTTCATCATCTTTCATCCGATACGAATCTGAATATATCTGAATCTATGGAATGAATTAATAGAACCCAAAGAATAGTGACATAATAGTGAAGTCAGATGTTTGATAGATATTGAATTATTGGATGATATCTTGATCTATCAAGAGATATGTCTTCCAAGTCTTTGATTAGACGATGGGACATTTGTCATTGGGCGACAATGAATCCGTTTTTCTACGACGACTTGCAGCATAGCATGGCCTTGGGCCTGAATGCAGACGTTTGCGTCAGGGTACAATATCCATCCCATTTTAATTGGTGTTTTTTTCCTGACAAAGATACATATGAGATACTTGTACCCCCCAAAGTCATCCATTTGTGATAAAGATGCATCTCAAGTGGCATGAACGGACCATGACACGTACGACACAATTCCTTTTGTTTCACTTAAGATAATCGGACCTTTGCTGCTAAATTGCAATTCCCAATACTGTAAATAAAACAAAATGTGCGCAGGATTGTTCAAGACTTCGTTGACTTCCACAATATTCCAAAGATAATATATTTGTCCATCCCATCAATAGACTGAAGCGACGATTTACAGCGTTTATCCCCATAGGTGGATTTTCATGGGTAAAAACCCCTTGAGCTTTCATATCTCATGGATTTTCATGGGTAAAAATTAGTAAAAACCCAGGTTTGTTCATATTTGTTAGATTTTGATTAGATTTTGATGGACAAAAATCATGAAGAAACCCATGGTTTCTCAAGGATTTTCGACGATTTTTCACCGCTTGCTTCAGGAGGGTGGCCCTCCCAGGATCCGTCAGCAAGTGGTGGGAACCAAAGGACGCAGGCGGAAAATCGACCCGATGTTCGCTGATTTGGGGCTTGGAAGAATAGTGATTTTCCACGAAAAATGGGTGATTTTCAGGAAGAAGTTACTTTACTAAGAGGCATCCACAAATGCTTCCCATATTCCCTGAATATTCCATCATTATTGATATATATATTGATATGATCGATCATAACAGTGACTATCAACCATTCAACCATTTTAATTTAGAGTGTAAGAAGGTAAGTATTAGCCGTGACCATCTTTAGATGCTTAGGTGATGTTAGATGATAGCCTTTCTACAGGATGGGGCCCCCAGTCGATAGCGTTCAGTTGCCTTATTAAAGTGGCTGAATTCTATGGTTTATGCTAGATATAACGAACTAGTTGATGGGGTGAAACTAAACCACCATCCTGCAGGGTCTATTTTAGAGGGTAAGAAAGGGGTAAGTATTAGCCATTGACCATCTTTAGATGCTGAGATGATTGGTGAAGGTCACCATTCGTGGTCAAAATGACCCGTATTTCAGGTTGGTGCGTCTTTTTTGAAATGTCTCCATGGACATTTGTCGTAACTCGAAGTTTGCTGTAGCAATCTTCGCGTTACGGACAATGTCCATGGAGTTTTCACATCATCATGTCAACCACAGAGCTAGCAAAAGTAGTTGGAAACATTAAATATCATTAAATCCCAATAACACTTCGGGGAGCGAAGTGTGCGAATCAGTCTGTTTCTAGAGGTCTGTGTGTTTCCGCGATTGTAGGGTAGCTCCACCTTTTGTAGGGCCACGACGGGACAGCTGAGCGTTGAGGGATCGTACACTTAAACAGTATGAACCTGAAACTGATAAAACTGCCTCCAAAATCTCGTTTTCTTCCATGTTTTGTTTGTGTGTTGAAGGACAACTGAACTACTTGTTCCTATTTCATTGGTTCACACGTAGGCACTAACGGTGGGCACTCGAGTTTTTGTCCCCTAGAGGTTCTTCAAGTTGGTGGTGTGGCTCCCCAGACGGATTTATCATGATTTATCACTATCAATTGGGGGTACCATCCAATTCATAGTCAGGGTGAAAAAAATGTCCGGGATTGACAATATTATTGTGAGTGAACCAATTTGGGATGATGATTCTTAGCTTATGCCGACGACTATGTACCAAACTCATGGGGCAATCATTATACCTCTTGATTAGTACAGCATAGTACAGCTTATGAGAACAGACGATTTTAGGCGATGGTGAAATCCCCCCAATTCGCGGGTGTTGGGGAATTTCAATTGAATTTGTGATGCTTGATAAGATGGACCTAGATAGAACTTGTTTGTTTTACCCTGGTTTATATAAATCCATTTAAACGTTGAGACATGCCATGGTTCCCCGGAAGATCGAAATGTACGGGTTTTTCCCCATCTTCGCGTGTAACCTTACTGCAGGTTTGTATGGTGACCCAATCAAATCCACTATTATGGGCCAAGTACCAGGAGGCAAAAAATCACCCCCCTAGCCAACCGAGTGGAGTTCCGGAAAAGTTCCATGGGTTTGAGGTTCGAGGTTCCAACAATTTTCAAACCCTATCCCAACATTATCTGGTTGGTGGTTTGGAACATTTGGATTATTTTTCCACATATTGGGAATAATAATCCTAACTATATAATATTTTTCAGAGGGGTAGGTATACCACCAACCAGTTATCATTACTGGATCTTCTTGTTGGATTTGAGGTTCCATGTTCAATTCCAAGGGTTCTGCGTGACGTTCTGACTCAAGCTGGGGCCCGTCCTTCTGGGTTCGTTGGTGAAAGCAGATGATACCAGCTTTCCATTGATGTTGGCCACAGGGAGATGGTTCAAGACATATTGAAACCTATGATACCATAGTTTTAGGGGGATGAACATCTGTAAATCCCAGCTATTTTGGGAACAGAAGGGTAGCAGGGTGACCCAGAACGACTATGGGGCCGTGGGAAAACCTGACGGCGACTGAGGCATGCAACCAGAAAGACAAGCAGAACGGAAAGCACATGGAGGCATTGGGACGGAATTTCACGGTGAGAATACCCTCTGGTAATGACTAACATAGCTATTGAAAATTGCCAGTTATAGTGGATTTTCCCATTAAAAATTGTGATTTTCCATAGTTATGTAAACGTTTACCAGAGGGTATGTCGGGCGGCATATGGTGGTTTCCTGAGTCATAGGGCTACTCCAAGTTCCAAGTTATCCATTTTTTTCGATGGGATTTCCCATGGAAATTTCATGAATCCGACCATTTCAAAAGGTCGTGTCTTGACGCCGAGGAGATCGGAGCCGGATCAAATCAAACAGTTCAGGGCCCCATATATAGAAGCAGCTAGTAGAATAGGATTCTGTATACCAACACTGTTGGGACATTACTCAATTGTCTGGTGGGTGGTGTATAATTATATGACATTATATGCATGTATGCATATTCCATCCCGATTCAAGATATGAAACAAGATGATGAACCTCAAATTGGGTTAATCTCTATACATGCCATGCATATGATTGGTTGGTGGTTTGGAACATGAATTTTATTTTTTCATATATTGGGAACGTCATCATCCCAACTGACGAACTCATATTTTTCAGAGGGGTTGAAACCACCAACCAGTATATAATTCATGCAAGTTGTGGCATGTTTGGTGCTTCTGTCCCTAATCATGTTGAACATCCAAGCAGTTGAAACCTATCCACTTTGGAGCCAGTTGGTTCTAAGTGGTTCCAAGTCATATTCCTATTTTTTGTGGATTCAAGTGATAAGTCGCACTAAAACTTCATTCATTTTGCTTCACCTCAAGGTCTCTGGAAGTTCACAGCCTTCACGCTTCCAAGAACTGGTTTGCTACTTGAATTGAGATGGATCAACATACGTCCCGGCTTGTCGGGATGTGATCAGATGTTTTTCATTTTTTCACATGGAGTACTTCGATGTGCATCCTAAGATATAGTCAAGTGTTTCATACTCCGTACTGTGGATAGAAGAAATCCTGCACCACTTTGGATGGTTGAAACCCTATAAATAATGGGATGTTTACCACCGTTTTCAACTGGTGCAGGATTTCGCAACCATCCACCGTATGTAACTGCTACCTGGAACTAACCAGCTTGGTGAACGAATCTGGGATGATAAAAACATCGCCCTTTTGGGACGACCGAGAAAAAATAATCGGATGTTCGACCTTTTAGAGATCCCCAGGTGAAAAAAGCCATTTTCTACTTTGGTTCAATTTACAAGGGTCAGTGGTATTTTTGCATTTTCTGGTTTTCGTGCAATTTTTGGAAAGGAACATTTTTAGATCACCCATTGATACCCATTTGGGGCTTTCCATGAACGGGGGTATCCCGATGGATGAGAACTGGGGGTAGCCCTATGACTTAGGAAACCACCATTTAAATATTAATGTGAGTAAAACATGGTAAAACAATACCACAAACCATCCCCCAGTCATCACCATTTTTATAGGTGGTATTCACCATTCCCAAATGGGTGTTTTTTTCCCACATGACCATTTGGGAATCTATTCTGATGCTTGATTCCCATTCCCTCCCCATTACCAGTCCGGCAGGTGCTTGGAAGCTATGCCCCCAAGGCTGGTGGGACCATGCCCATGGCCATGGGATCTTTTTAGAACTGGAGGAACTGACTGGAATGGCTAGTGAGTTCGTTCGTTCGTTCGTTCGTTAGTTTAATGCAGCTCAGTAGGGAGATGTTTCAGCTAACCAATGAAAATTGCTATTGTAGAGACAGTTTTTGGGCATCCAAGATCAGCCATGCATATTTTCGGGGAATTCATTGCCTGCCTGGCTTCCTGGCTTGATTTTGCACGTTCAGCAAAGCCAAGAGGGATGTGTCAGACGTACCGTACTTTTTCGACGTTGATTTTGATACATTTTGGGGTAATGTGGGTAAAACAATGCCACAAACCACCCATGACTGGGAATGGTAAACATACGTACCACGCATAAAAAATGTGATGACTTGGGGATCGTTTACGAAGTCTTTTTAACCACATTTTTTTCACAACTTTGATATACTTAAGTCTGGGTAACGCTTTCACTAATACCGTAGATGGATGTGTCTGAAAATGGGTCATATCATATATCCCTCAGAGGGTAATTTTCATGTTTGTGGGATGAAAAATACATAGCGAAAAATCCCATGGTAATATGACTATGGCAGATATGGAAAAAGCCTCTGGTAATTTCAAAAAGCTATGGACAAAATACATGAACATGGTTTGTTTATAGACTTACAGATGATCTAGCTATTAGAAAAGGTGATATGTTCAATAGCTTTGTTGAATTACCAGAGGCTATCATCATCTTTTGGTTGGTTCAATCCCATGAAATCCTGGATGGGCCCCCCCAGTTATGTGAACGTTGGCTTATAACCCCATCTAAATATAGTTATTTGCGTATCATACACTATTGTTATTATAGTTATGTTCTCCAACGACTTAGCTAACGAACTGGGGCCCCATCCTGTATGAAGTATCACTCTTGGTGGTTCAGCACCATCCCGAAGCCATAGAAACGGCAACTTTTTGCAGCGGGAACATGGATATCTAAGTCTCGCCGGTTGGATTTTGGTGCCTCTAAAATGGAAGTTTAAAGTTTAAATGGGGCAATGATGAATCAACACATCATCTTCAAAACGAAATGCAAGGCCTTTAAGGTTTGCTACCTGGCTATGTGATCGAACATCATCTAACTAGTTCGATATATCCAGCAGAAGACCATCTGTTTGCTCAGGTTTTTCAGCCAACTCTTTTTCGCATCTCATATTAGTTGGTTGAAGCCGGTTTCCCTATGTTTCCCTACTGTGGGTTGTAACATGTTGTAACCATCCCCAATATGCCAGTAAAACTCCCTATAACTTCCTGCAGGGTTTGCACCAGGCCCGGTCCAATGTGAAGGAAATCCGCCTGCGCTTTTCTCGCGTGAAGGCCAGCCCTTCTTTTCGCCTTCAAACATGAGGGATTTCAACATTTTTTACATAATGTGGTTTTATGGGGATGATTATTATAACTTATAACAATGATGTTATTAACATGATGATTAATCATATATTAACATATATTTAAATCACCATATTTATAACATAATGTTGATTAGATTCTTATTAGATTGTTATGATCTTTATTATTGATCAATTGGGTTTAATCATTCACAACAAGCTTAACTTCAACATGGCGATTTAATATCTTTTTTATACACAGATATTAGTATAGTACACAGTTGCCAATCAATCAATCAATCAATCAGTCAATCAATATATATATATATATTTGGGATCAAGTATTGATTATGAAAAAAACGTGTTTTGATTAACGAGCAAAAAAAGGACGTATATAATTGGGATATAATGGGAATTGACCAGCAATCAGTTGGACAATAATGGGAACACCATCACTATGATGGGCGTATGATTGGTGTGCAAGTGGGATTACATGAGATGTGCAGGGGATCAAACCAACCGTATCATAACATGGCAATGTACACATCCCATCACATCCCCATTGATAAACACTTACTGATGTTTTACCTACTTACAAGGAGGGTTTTTGGAGATATGTATGTATTTGTATATAATTACTGCATTTTTTGTTTTTGGGTTTAGGTGTTGAGGGAAACATCGGGAAACATGCGTCAGCTACCGCAATGATGCGCACTGATGTGCAGCGGCCAACGCTGAGGCGTTCCTGCTGGGTCGGTCTCAGCGTGGACTGCGAAGGTTCCGAAAAGAGCAGACCTGAGTGGCACTTTGTCAGGGGTTCCAGCTACGCCAGTCAAGAACAATGCTCCGGGTTCATGTGCCAACAGGTTCGGAAACTTCTTTGGGAGGCTGGCCTTATCGTCCTGGTGCTTGCAGGGAGGTTTGAGATTCAAACCTCGCTGGCCTGAGGAAGTGGCTGAGCCCAGTCTATAGGCTCGTGCCCGTGGCCACCGTGTGCGTCCCTGCACCTGCAGCAAAGACTCAGGCTCATTGATGTTGCAGCTGTGATCACCATCACCGCATGATGGATTTACTGGGTTTGCTGTCAATGTGTATGGATCTCGCATCATCAACTTTTGGCGGCTTCAACCTTCCAACTTTGCAAAACAAGATTGAAACCACCACCCAGTGCACCCAGGTAGTAACGCTTATGCCAATGGTTGTCAAATTTGCATTGCCCTCAAGTAGCATCAAGTTGGATACCCATGGTCGTTATATGTTGTTCTGGTATTGCAACTTGCCACTGGATTCCACTTTGAGCACAATTGATCAGCTGACTCCTCCTGCTGGTTCATCCCAATGTTGGTGAGTGGTGGGTACTGCAGGGTACTCCAGCAAACTCACCCTGATCAATCATACTTACCAGTGATTACCCAATACCCCGGTGTCAAGTTGGTTAAGCTCCGCTGCGCTGTATTGATGATGCTGGTCCCCGTTAAATCTTCACTTCCGCTCGCCATAAATGCAAGGTGTCTACTTGTGCTTGGCCCCGCGTGACTGCGGCATACACCGCGCCTCCTACCTATTTGACGGTGCCAGTGGCCACCGCGAGCTCAAGGCCGCAACCACTGATGACACCGCCAGTGTATGGTCAGGCAGGGTTGCAGTTGATGTTGACTGACAGCACTGATTCATTGAGGGTGATAATGGTGATAAACTGGATGATGGTGGTCATGCTGTTGGGGCGGCTCAGCCGGATGAATTTTCCGGGCATGGGTGGTCCAGCTCCTGCTTTGCCACGCGCCTTGGCGTCAGTGGCCTGCGAGCGCCACTTTGCTGACTACCATGTACCATGTTACTTGCTGCCACCGGGGAAGATGCCGGCAACTTAGGCAGCCACGTCGCGTGGTCGACCGGGCATGGACGGAAGCCTTTGACAGGGCATTCCTGGGAGCAGTGGAGGAGGGGGAGGCACTTGCAGTCGGATTCGGCGGCATTGTCCGAAGAGCCACCTGGGCAGGCAACCAAGTGGTCACCAAACAGATGTACCGAGATCCTGATGATCAGGAGCTGTTCAAGGTATTTTTGGGTGTTCTCATCCCATCATCTCCATGCCTGGGATACGGAGTGATGGATGTGAATGGCCTCGACCATACACGCCTGATTTCGGCCTATGTGCCGCATACCGCACGCGACAGGCTTGTTCCGGAGCTGGACATTGCAGGGAGGTTGCGCATGGCCAAAGGTATGATCACTGCCATCTCCTTTTTGAGCCAGCTGAATCTGGTGCATCGCGATGTGAAGCCTGACAGCTTCCTGGTCAGTGAGGCTGAGACAGTTTTTATCATCGACTTGGGTTCAATTTCCCGGTCTGGCGAGGATCCTCCCATGAGCTGTGAACCCTACAGGCCACCAGACACCATTGTGTCCATTGCATGGGACGTGTTTTCCCTGGGGAAGGTATTTTGTGAAGTGTCCTGGTGGAACCACGGGGCTTCCCCAGACATCCCTCCTGCCATCCTCCAGCTCATCGTCGATGACATGACTCAGAGTGGGCCAAGCGCTTGGCCATGCCTCTCGGAATGTTTGAGCAGGCTTACATGAAAAGGAGGGGGGGTGCGTTGAGTCGGATGATGTGGCCCACAGACTCCCTCTAGAGTGTTTAGTTTTGTTGCAGGTTCGGCTGTTTGACCAGAGGGCGCCCCCTTGTTTTTCAGCTGGGGTCGTCCAGCTTGGGTCGTCCAAACACATGCGATTCATTGCGGTTCCGGATGGGGGGTGGTTCATGATACCTGCTGCCCTGGTCGAGATGGCCCGCCAAGACTCCAACACTGATGAGCGCCACCAGGTAGCGGGCAGCCCATGATCCATCTTGCCAAGGCAGAGGGGAGGTGGAGGGGCGCGGCTCGCGCGGCTCGCACAGCACAAAGGACAGCGGTGCAGGTTCATCAGCCATGGCCATTACTGTCAGCAATCACCATCATTCAAGCTCTAAACCGCACATTGTGTACAATTGCCTTCTTTATACGCTTTATATTTTATCCAAATCAGACATGCCCCTGAACAATTCGAACTGATACAGTCAAGAAAACCCAGCTGATGCTTCTCAATTAAAACACAGCTGCGCGTGCCATTCCCCCAAACCATGACGGGAGCCTCCTTTGTGAGGCCAGGCGACGGGTGCAACGATGTGCACCGAAGCGAAGACCATGACAGAGAGAAGAATTGAAAACAAACACATCAACTTGATTGATGGCTTGCGTAGATGTTTCTTGTGGCTGTTTCCCCCCCAGCGGTGAGATATGTGCTAGCGTGTTGAATTTAACCCATGTCGAAAAAAGCAACACTTCCCAATCAAACAGAAAAAATCCCATCGGCTTAGACAACATTTCCATTAAAGCCCGGCTTCAACACCAATCTAGCGGCGTTTTTAACACATGACATGTAGAGCACCACTAGACCTTTGTGGAAGTGACGTTTTTCCCTCTTTGGATTGCTTTTCGAGGACGAAACACATTGAGAAAGACGCTTAGATCTTGGGCTATAGCGTTCAGAAGGCTTTCATACGCATCAGATCCCCCAGTATCATCATCGGACTCAGCTGATTCGTCATCCATCGAGTACATAGCCTTTGACAGAATACCCAACAAGAATCTCGTCGCCCATGTAGGTTTCAAGTAGTTCAGTTTGTGGATATCTTTCTGGTTGAACAGCTTGTGCGAATTCCATATCGTAGAATGGAATGACAGGACAGAATCAGGATGGCTTGTTTGCGCAGACTTCTCCCTTCATCGCCGTGAAGCAACAGCCCACAGCGACGGCTGATATCAAAACCATCCTGGCCATCCCGGCTAAAAACATCTATATAAAAACTTCGTGTGTAGGACTGGTTTGTTGAAACCGCTCCCAAAAAGTGATTGGGATTCCGGTGGCAAATTCTTCCAATCCCCTTGTTTGGTCTTGCCAGCTTTATCGATGTTTTTTTGGACACAAATGATGCATTCCACATCAACAATTCGATAAGACATTTTTGAGCAAGTGTGTGTGTGTGTTAACCATCTGAAGAGATGTAAAACTTCTACTTTGGGATTCCTTTTCAATGCTTTTCATCAATTTGCAGGGGGCTGCAGGGAATGTCATGGGAGCACCTGCTTCAATTTTCATGTCACATCCCTGTTTTGGGCAGTGGCTAACCCAAGAATGACGATGTCGGTTTTGATGTCATGCACGTTTGCTGCAACCTGGGAGTTATTTCAACCAACTTTTCCAACCAATTTGACTTCAACTGCGCTGGCTATGGCGATGGTAGCCTCTTAAGTTTTTCGGGTCTCTTCGCCGACCCATTCCTGTCAGGTGTACTGGAAGTGTTTTTAACACGTAAGATGCATTCCACAACAGAATCGCAATGACAGTTCTGAGCAAGTGTGTGCGCAGCAACATTGCAATGTCATGGATCGCACATGATATGAAACATGCGATAAGGGATATTCAGTTGTATGCAGGCAGTTCCAGACAACTTTTTTGGAATATGCTTTCCAAGCAAGAGAGAGAGAGAGAGAGACAGAGAGAGAGAGAGAGAGAGATAGAGACAGCATGAGTCCCTGCACAGGTGAGCCGAACAGTGCTCAGGGAATTCCGCACCAGCACTTTATCCACCAACGACATCATCGGAGAGCTGGATGAATTTGATGCTTTGTTTTCTCAAAGATGCTTCCCTGGCCGACAGGGCGGGGTGAGTGGCGCTTGGGGCAAAGCGCAGATTGCATACCTTCGGCACACACAAGCAAGGCCACGTGGACCAAAGAAGTCCACACGTGCTAAGTGCTACCCATCGAGCGGCTGAGGGATTATGGGAAGCAAGGGGGAGAGGGAGAGAGAGAGAGAGAGAGCGAGACAGCATGAGTCCCTGCACAGGTGAGCAAAACGGTGCACAGGGAATTCCGCACCAACACTTTAGCCACCAACGACATCGTCGGAGAGCTGGATGAATTTGATGCTTTGTTTTCTCAGAGATGCTTCCCTGGCCGACAGGGCGGGATGAGCGGCGCTTGGGGCAAAGCGCAGATTGCATACCTTCGGCACACACAAGCAAGGCCACGTGGACCAAAGAAGTCCACACGTGCTAAGTGCTACCCATCAAGCGGCTGAGGGATTATGGGAAGCAAGAGAGAGAGAGAGAGAGAGAGAGATAGAGACAGCATGAGTCCCTGCACAGGTGAGCCAAACAGTGCGCAGGGAATTCCGCACCAGCACTTTAGCCACCAGCGACATCGTCGGAGAGCTGGATGAATTTGATGCTTTGTTTTCTCAAAGATGCTTCCCTGGCCGACAGGGCGGGGTGAGCGGCGCTTGGGGCAAAGCGCAGATTGCATACCTTCGGCACACACAAGCAAGGCCACGTGGACCAAAGAAGTCCACACGTGCTACCCATCAAGTCCACACGGGACAAGGGCTACACCGAACCATTCAGCTGCAGAAGAGACCAGTCATCCTCAATGGTCTAGTAGCATGCTTTGCTGCCAAGCAATGGGCTTATGAGCCTGGCTACCGGGTAAGCTCCGGAACCATAGGGACGGAGAGGCTGTGGAGAAACAGACAACGGGAAACAAAAAAACAAGAGCGGATCCAGCGCAGAGCCGCGCGCTGTGAACCTCTTGGAAATCTCTCGATGGTTCAGTGAAATTCAGAGTCGCCTCTTGCACATGCGATCATGTGTGGATTTGTCGATCCAGCCGTGGCTTACTGCCGCTAGCTTTTGTCCAAATGTGCCCGCGCTTCCCCATGTCGGGGCTGTCCAAGCCACAAAGGTGGTGCCATAGGTTGAAGCTCAAAAGATGGAACATGTATCTTGGATTTTCACACCTAAGTCCCCTATGTCGATCATCGCTTGTCAGATTGCTGGTGTCCCCTGATGCCTAATCACTGCTCTGGGATGGTTTGCTGGTAGAAGCCAGGATAGCTCTGACCCGCAATGCAGCGCGCGCGCGTGCCAGATTGAGGCCAAATGGCACCCTCGCCACTGCCGAAACAAAAGTTTTGCTTCAGGACTCCATTGCGGCAGCTTTTCTCCACTTCATGAGCCATTTACATATATGTATATATGTTCAAATTTTTGTGTTGAATCTGAGAGCACTATCTTCAGCCGGCCAGGCTTACAATTCCGGGATATGCGATGCCTTCCTGGCCGGCCACTCAAAGCTTAGGCTTAGATTGCTCGCTGAGGTCCTATGCCTGAGCAGCGTGTGTTTAAGGGACGGTTTTTTTCAACATGCAGGTTCATTTGAAGGTCCATGGGTATTTTGCGCATTCCATTTCCTATATCTAGGTTTACGCAGTGAGATGTTTCAAGTTCAGTCCCTTACACATTTCTGTTACTAGGTATTCCCACTCTGGTTTCCATCATCTCGAACTACCAAATCCAGCATGTCAGGCACTCCTCTTTGCCCTGGCCTTCGTTGTGTCGTTCTTGCTGCTGCGGAAGGCTCTCTGCATGTTTGCTTGCTGGCCCTGGTGGACTTGGACGAGCCACTTTTGGACTCACACTTCCCAAGCACAACAACATGTGCGCAGGCTTTTTGCGTTGAGCCAGGTGCTCTTTCGCCGGGAGCTTAGTCTTGCACGACCCCACTGCAAGAGATTGGCATAGGGTGGCCGGCGGAAGTCGTCTTGCCCTGTTTTGGCGCAAAGATGTCACAAGAACATGTTTCAGCCATTTCCCGCCATCATGAACTGGTGATTTGTTGTGTCCTGCGAATTCTCTCACGATTTCGTCCTGTACCTTGAGGTCGCCTAAATCTCGAGGTCAACTATCGCCACACACGGAAGTTGACTTGGAGGCAGGGTCCATGCAAGACAATTGCACACGTGCCCGTCCTGCAAGCGCCGTACGTTACGCAAGGCGTTGATGAATGTTATTGAATGTTGATGTCGTCATGACTGCTGACCAGGTCGACATGCAGTGTAGGAGGTGCTCAAGGTAGTGATGAGACACTGTGGTCAGGCTCAGCTTCGTGGGACAGAAGAACTGACTTTGTCCCTCTTGAGGTAGGGCAAAGATTCAGCAGACCCGTGTTGCGAATAAGCGGGCCATGTCTGTCCGATGAATCCTCAGTACTTTGCCTTTAGCCAGGAGCAGAACCAATGCGTTCTTTGAGCTCAGCATCTCCAAGAGGCAAAGACGTCACGTGAGACTAAAGCAGTCTGGTGCAAGGGGTGGGCACCAGGACTTGGACACTCTCACGCAGAACCGATTTCAATCCATTATGAATAAAACATGTTAATTTTGACATGATGATAGCGCGCAAGACGGTGGGAACAGCAGCAACGGCTGTGACAGGTCAAATGCCTTGAAAGGCGCGTCTCCAAGTTGACCAAACTTCGCGCCGAGGACTTGAGGTCAGCTGCACAAGCAGTGTGTTCATGTTGTTTGACCACTGTGGCATCCAGGGGTCATATGGGACCCTCGTCTACAAATTTCATCAGATTTTGGTGATGCGTTGTTAGCCACAGCCCGGCAGGGGTTGAGCCCCCATTCAAATGCAAAGTGCTGAGCGGGCATGTCGAACCATCGGCAAGCGACTCGGAGACCTCATGGAGAAGTTCGCACCCATCAAAAAGGTCAGCGGGATTTTCAAGAGCTCAGAGAAGGGCTGCCGGTTTAGACAGGATTTTGCAAGAGCTTCCACCCAGGGCACCCATGTTTCCCACCGATGTTTCTCCAGGTCTCATTCTATCTCCTTTCTTTGGGTTGTGACCTGTACACCACGATAAAGCCTGCTCGGTCATGAGTTTTTTACAGGGCCCGGTTGTTGTGCTTATCGAAGCCAACGCGCCTGACGGCATCAAGTCGCTCTGCGAGTCATTTGGCAGCAGCTTATTACAACGTTTGTTAATCAGATGGGCCTTGCAAAAACATTTTAACAAACGCGCCAACAAGCATGGCAAGGGACACATCAATCAGCCATGCTTGTTATAAACGTACATCTGCGTCCTTTGCCATCAATCAGATGAAGCCTGGCCCATCTCATTGACCAAGGACGCAGATGATGTCACATTTCGGGCCGGCCACGCACCGACTGTTGATAGATGGTTGAATACCGTGTTTTTTCATTTTTTTGATGGCTGTGTATCAACCCACGAAGCTAAACATCTATTTCTTGGAAGGTATCGAAGATTGACCATGGTGCTCGGGCAGCATTTCTGTAGATTTTTTGTTCGGCGACTATTATTTACAGGAAATCAGCTACCGCCGTATGATGTACTTGGCCTACTCTTTGGTTGTTGTTTAATGTTCAAGTATATATTGCTTGTTAAATGAGTTCACTATAAAAGAGGAGGACCCGCTGGTTAATTTTTGCTTGGCAACGGGAAACTGTCTGAAAACGGGCCATGTACTGTCCAAGTCATGGTTTGTTCAATGGGAGAGTGACCCAACATGATGATGAACCATCAAATTTGGGGTATGCCGTATTTTGAGACACGTTCACTGAGAGATACTCCTAGAAACTCCGAGGGCATGGCATATTACTCTGGTGGATTCATCCCTCATTTTCTGGTGGTGGTTTCAAATATTTAAGAACCACTATAGAGATAGCCCTGTGGTTTCAAATATGTAAGAACCACTATAGAGATAGCCCTGTTGAGATTGTTAAATATAGGGACTTATTGTTGATTGGGATTATCATAACCCACTATCTGGAATATGTACTAACCAACCACTCTAATGGGATGGGATAGGGCTATTTGTTTCATTCCCCCAAGCAGTGTGGCCACACTGAGGGGTTCTTACGGTAAGTGTTAAGGCCTGGTGTTCAATAGAGGTGGTATCGGAAGCGTTTGGCATTTTCCCTGTAAATTTCCGCACAAAATGCCTCTTGTGACATGTCCATGTTCATTTCGACTCCGCAGGCTCGCACAAAATGCTGGCCCCGGGATACGCGTCCGGCATTTTCCCTGTAAATTTCTGCACAGAATGCTTCTTGTGACATGTCCATGTGCATTTCGACTGCGCAGGCTCGCACAAAGTGTGCATCCCGGTCTTGGGATCGGTCTTCCTCCTCAACATCATCCTCCTCAACATCAGCATCTTCCTCCTGCTCCTCAACATCCACATCATCATCATCATCGTCGTCGTCGTCATCATCATCATCGTCATCATCGTCATCATCATCACTATCGCCACCACCATCATAAGCACCACCACCATCATCATCATCATCATGATGATGATGATCATGATCATCATCATCATCATCCTCTTCCTCATCATCATCATCATCATCAACATCATCATCATCACATCATCATCAACATCATCATCATCGTCATCACCATCTTCATCAACAGTATCATCAACATTAAACATCATGATCAACATTATAATACATTATCCTTTTACTCCCCCCACACTGTTTGGGGTCTCTTGCCCCCCAGTTCCCCTGTGGCTTCGCCAGTTCTGGCTGGGTGTGGGCGCGGCCTTTAATCCCGGGACCAGGCGCGGAGTTTATGGCAGATTTGGATGGGGGAAATAGAACTCAGAATGGGAGTTAGCATAGGGCCTATGGCATAAGGTAAACTAACGTAGATGTGGAAAACCTTTGGTTTTTTGGTAAGAAAATCATCTACAAATGGTTGGGTAACTATTGAAAAATTGGGCTTAATAATTAATAAGTAATAATTTTGATGTTAATGGGAATTTCATGGTGTGACATGATGATCACCTTCTGTTTTTTTTAAATTGCCATGGAAACCATGTCCCATAGAAATATAAATAGATGAAACAATGATGATTTACCTGTTGGGATGGTGATTTTCCAGTTCGCTACTCTAACCACAGGGTAATCAGTGGAGTTCCAGTGTATATTTTTATTTTATTATTTTTTTTGTTGGGGAATTTAGCAAAACAAAATTAAACATATTTTATGGGTATGTAAATGATGGGACTGATAAAATACCGACAGCGTGATATGTGGGTTTGCGCGACTAGAATTGAATATTTACAATCCCCCCCCTGCATGGCAGGGTCTATGGCAGTTGGAGGTCAAAATGTAACGAGGCAACATGTAGAATTCACTGGGATAGGATGGGCCACAGAACCAACAATATGATATTGGCTTTATTTGCACATGGAGAATTCACCCTCAATCTGGCAATTTTCATAAGGACAACGAATGCAAATGATGATGATCAAGTGGATATGGAGGTTTCCTAAAATGGGGTACCCCCAGTTCTCATCCATTTCTAGATGGAATTTCCCTGAAATAAACCATCCATTCTGGGGTACCCCCATTCTAGGAAACGTCCACCTGTGGACTGCGCCAGGCAACTGCTAGCATTGGCGGGCTTGATCCCTACGGCCTCGCTGGCATGGGCACGGGGGAATTTCATGGGAAGAACCATGGTTGAAACACCGCAAAAATGGGGGATGAACGCATCAAAAAGGCAGTCAAAAATGATGATCAGCCAGAGGACAGTGGATAGAATGGCTTAGCCTATTTCAGACACACCCAAATGTCTGGATTTCGACCAACAAACATAAGTCTTTTTCGCAAAACAAAACAGAAAGAGATTGGAAACTCTTCCAGAGTCGGAAAGAACTCACTATAGCGACGGACTGAAACTTAGAATGCCGGGCCCCTTCAGCTCGCGCTGTCCCAAAGAATGCCGCCGCGGGAGCAAAATCTTAAAAAAACACTGGTAAAATGCAATTTTCAACTACCTGCTATTTGAGCTGGACTTTTTTTAATGAATCGTTCGTAGGTAAATTTTGTGAGAATTTACAGGGTAATATGAGATTGAGTGCCACACATAGAATGCCTCCGGCCAAAAAGTCCAGCTCGCAGCATGTCAAACATTTGAATCCTATATTTTCAAAATACTCGGTATACGCGGGGTTTTATGTACTTTGTGCAGCCCACATAGACTGCCGCCAAAAACATATACAAATGTCATCATTCTGTTGCAAAATCTCTGTTTTTTTGCAGTAGAATGCCGCCAAAAACATATGCAAATGTCATCATTATGTTGCAAAATCTCTGTTTTTTTCCTTTAAATTGAAGGATTGTATAATTTTATTATTCCATTTGAATAATTCTATATTTCTATATAAATCCAATCTCATGAGAGGGCATCGTGCCCATTCTGCCTTTATGCAGTTGTTTGGTGTCCTTTCGCTCGCTGCCCGCTATGCCGCCATCCCAGCGGATTTCATATATAATAAAGGGTATAAAAGGGGATTTCATTGGGTGTTGGCGGTGAGAACATGGGGACAGAATGGGATATTGGTATTGAATAACCCTCACTAAGCCGGCTAGCACTTAGAATATTGAAGTATTCATCCTTGAGAGTCCAGCGGCTCTTTTTGGAGGCCCGGCTGGATTTTGACAATATTCTATCTGCATTGCACTTAGAATGTTCGCTATTGCACTTAGAAATATTCCATAATGAAGATATCAACAAAAACATTACTTCTTGAAGTGTTTTTGGAAACAATACTGCTTTGAAGGAGCTGCTGAATAGTTACTAAATAACTGCTAAATAGCTGCTAAGCAGCTCCTAAATAGTTCCTAAATAGTTGCTAAATAGCTGCTGACTAGCTGCTGAATAGCTGCTAAATAGCTGCTCAATAGCTGCTAAATAGCTGTTAAGTAGCTGCCAATAGCTGCTAGATAGCTGCTCAATCGCTGCTAAATAGTTGCTAAATGGCTGCTAAATAGTTGCTGATTAGATGCTAAATAGCTGCTAAGTAGCCACTAAATAGCTGCCAAATAGTTACTAAATAGCCGCTAAATAGCTGCTAAATAGCTGCTCAATAGTTGCTAAATAGTTGCTAAATAGCTGCTCAATAATTGCTAAATAGCTGCTAAATAGTTGCTAAATAGCTGCTAAGTAGTTGTAAAATAGTTGCAAAATAAATTCTAAATAGCTGGTAAATAGATGCTAAATAGCTTCTAAATAGTTGCTGAATAATTGATAAATAGCTGCTAAATAGCTGCTAAATAGTTACTAAATAGATGCGAAATAATAACTAAACAGCTGCTAAATAGCTGCACAATAGCTGCTAAACAACTGTTGAACAGCTGCTAAGTAGCTGCTAAATAGCTATTGAATAGCTGCTAAATAGCTGCTAAATAGGTGATAAATAGTTGCTAAATAGCTGCTAATTAGCTGCCAAATATTTGCTAAATAGCTGCTCAAGAGTTGCAGAATAGTTGCTGAATAAATGCTAAATAGCTGCTAAATAGATGCTAAATAGTTGCTGAATAATTGCCAAAAAGCCGCTAAATATTTCTAAACTAGCTGCCAAATAGCTTCTAAATAGCTGTCAAATTGTTTTTAAGTAGTTGCTAAATAGTTGCTCAATAGCTGCTAAATAGCTGCTACATAGCTGCCAAATAGCTGCACACTAGCTGCTAAAAAGCTTTTAAATAGCTGCTAAATACGTGCTAAGTAGCTGCTAAATATGTTGTAAATAGCTGCTAAATAGTTGCTCAATAGTTGCTGAATACATGCTAAATAGCTGCCAAATAGTAGCCAAATAATTATTAAATAGATTTGAATAGCTGCTAAATAGCTACTGAATAGCGCCAAATAGTTACTAAGTAGCTGCTAAATAGCTGCTCAATAGCTGCTGAATAGCTGCTAAAGAGTTGCAAATAACTGCTAAGTAGCTTCTAAATAGCTGCTAAATAGTTTCTAAATAGCTGCCCAATAGTTACTAAATAGTTGCCAAACAGCTCCTAAATAGTTCCTAAATAGCTGCTAAATAGTTGCTAAATAGCTGCTAAATAGTTGCTAAATAGTTGCTGAACAGATTCTAATAGCTTCCAAATAGCTTCAACATAGGTGATGAATAACTTCTAAATAGCTGCTAAATAGCTACTGAATAGGTGCTAAATAGGTGCTAAACAGATGCCAAATAGTCGCTAAATAGTTGCTAAATAGTTGCTAAACAGGTTTTAAATAGTTGCTGAATAACATGCTAAATAGCTGCTAAATAGCTGCTAAATAGCTGCTAAAATCTGCTAAATAGCTTCTAAATAGCTGCTAAATAGCTGCTGAATCAATGCTAAATAGCTGCTAAATAGCTTCTAAACAGCTGCCAAATAGTTGCTAAATAGAACAAGGAGGTGAATGGATTCATGTGACTTTGGAATATTCTAACTGCTAATGTTTTCCGAAGATTCCCAGTCGAGCGGTGTATCATTTTGGAATATTCTAAGTGCTGACGTATTTTTTTGGATTATTCTAACTGCTAGCAGATTATTATATATAGTTCATTTTTGGAATTTATTTCAACCATGTGGTCGAAACGCCAGAAGCTCACAAATGGGATTTAGGGGACAACAACTAGCATATTCACACCAAAACAGGGGATTATATAATAAGTTATATATACCATCAAGAGTTCAAGTCTATATCTCTAATAGCGACGGACTGAAACTTAAAATACCTCGGACCAAAAACATTAAAAGGGTCTCCAAATATGGCGATAATCATGCGGACTTAGAATGCCCGATAAAAGTCCAGCTCGCAGGTTTGAATGTTTTGGTGATGGAGGCATTCTCAGTGAGCCCAAAATTTAGGCATTCTAAGTGGCACCGTTAAAAATCTTAACAAACACGGCGGCATTCTAAGTTTCAGTCCGTCGCTATAATTCATGGCCAAGCCGAACCGTCATGGAGACGATTCGGAAACATGACCTGGACAAGTTTCCCCGGATCTTTTTTGGTAGATTTTGACCAAAAAAGTCACCCAGTTTCACCAAAAAATGGGGCTCTAAGCAGTCGAAAAATATGGTTTAAAGATGTTTAAAGCAATGAATGATTGAATAATTTGACATGGGTTTGTCATGGTTTGTCTTAAAATGGAAGACTATGGAAGATACCCAAAACATCCTGGTTTTGGAGTTATCCCACGAAGAATGACTGAGATCCTCATCATGGCAGCATGTGAGTCAAATCTGCCCTGAGTATGGGCATGGTATACGTATATATATATATATATAGTACAATGCATATATGTATACATACATATACATATATATATATATTATACGCACACACACACACACCGTATACCCCCATGTGTGGACAATTTAATATGAGCAAGGTGGGCCTCAAATGGAATGCAGCGGCCCTCACAGAATGTCATTGGAATATGCTTAATGCGGAAAAAAATTGGTTTCATGTTAGATTTCAGGGTTGTACATTTTGGTTTTGTGAAGACATTTTGGCTTAACGCCGTGGTGGGTATGTAATTTCTGACCAATGTCCGGTGCACACCATGGCTACGTGGATACATCTACTGACGAAGGTGCTGCAGATGAAGCTGATGAGGTCAATCTTCAGGTGCTGTGCATGACTGGAGAAGGAGTGACATTGAGCGTCCCTCGCTCCATGCTTGGGTATGACCTGCGCAGGTTGGTGTCAGAGATGCTTCCATGCAAGCCAGGCGCAAAGCTCGCCGTGCATCACGTGAATGCAGAGCTGATGCTGTATCAAACCCTAGGAGAGCAAGGGATTGCTGGAAAATTGGCTATGCTGTCGTGCACTTACATACCAACAAATGTGTACACTGCATGGCGTTATGTATGTGGGCTCCCAACTTGTGAGAGTGAGAGAGATTTTGTGCTAGAGGGTGTTACACAACTTGAAGGAGCATTGCCTCAACATTTGCTTCATCTGCCCCAAACCCTTGCAAGATTGACTTTTTGCAGTGACTTCAAAGATACACTGGAGCAGGTAACTTTGCCATCGAGTCTTCAAAGCTTGAGTTTTGGCTGCTGGTTCAACCAGAGCCTGGAGCGGGTGATGTTGCCATCGAGTCTTCAAAGCTTGAGTTTTGGACAGAATTTCAACCAAAGCCTGGAGCGGGTGACCTTGCCATCGAGTCTTCAAAACTTGAGTTTGGGCTCTGGGTTTAACCAAAGCCTGGAGCGGGTGACCTTGCCATCGAGCCTTCAGAGCTTGAGTTTGGGCGAGAATTTTAACCACAGCCTGGAGCGGGTGACTTTGCCATCGAGTCTTCAAAGATTGAGTTTTGGCGGCTGGTTCAACCAAAACCTGGAGCGGGGGACCTTGCCATTGAGTCTTCAGAGCTTGAGTTTGGGCGGCTGGTTCAACCAAAGCCTGGAGCGGGTGACCTTGCCATCAAGTCTTCAAAGCTTGAGTTTGGGCAACATGTTCAACCAAAGCCTGGAGCGGGTGACCTCGCTATCAAGTCTTCAAAGCTTGAGTCTTGGCATGATGTTCAACCAAAGCCTGGAGCGGGTGACCTTGCCATCGAGTCTTCAAAGCTTGAGTTTTGGCAAGAATTTCGACCAAAGCCTGGAGCGGGTGACTTTGCCATCGAGTCTTCAGAGCTTGAGTTTTGGCGGGCAATTCAACCAAAGCCTGGAGCGGGTGACCTTGCCATCGAGCCTTCAAAACCTGACTTTTGGCGAGAATTTCAACCAAAACCTGGAGCGGGTGACGTTGCCATCGAGTCTTCAGAGCTTGAGTTTTGGCGAGAATTTCAACCAAAGCCTGGAGCGGGTGACCTTGCCATCGAGTCTTCAAAACTTGAGTTTGGGCTCTGGGTTTAGCGAAAGCCTGGAGCGGGTGACGTTGCCATCAAGTCTTCAAAGCTTGAGTTTGGGCAACATGTTCAACCAAAGCCTGGAGCGGGTGACCTCGCTATCAAGTCTTCAAAGCTTGAGTCTTGGCATGATGTTCAACCAAAGCCTGGAGCGGGTGACCTTGCCATCGAGTCTTCAAAGCTTGAGTTTTGGCAAGAATTTCGACCAAAGCCTGGAGCGGGTGACCTTGCCATCGAGTCTTCAGAGCTTGAGTTTTGGCGGGCAATTCAACCAAAGCCTGGAGCGGGTGACCTTGCCATCGAGCCTTCAAAACCTGACTTTTGGCGAGAATTTCAACCAAAACCTGGAGCGGGTGACGTTGCCATCGAGTCTTCAGAGCTTGAGTTTTGGCGGGCAATTCAACCAAAGCCTGGAGCGGGTGACCTTGCCATCGAGTCTTCTTAGCCTGAGTTTTGGGAATGACTTCAACCGCAGCCTGGAGCGGGCAACCTTGCCATCGAGTCTTCAAAGTTTGAGTGTTGGCCACCTTGCAAGCAGGGTCTCTGTCAGCTGTGCAGGCTGTGCTTAGTTTGCCTGACATGTCCTCCAATAGTCTCTCAGCGAAAGAGGTTTGCGTTCACAGGGATTCTTGAGGCATTCGAGGTGGGAAAGGACACAACAGTTTTTTTCTGTTAACACCCTCGATTTGCGGGTGAAGATGTGGAATTTGTATCAATGTTTGGGGTATGCCATGATTATATAGTATTATATGATATAGATACTTTATCCTCTGTTATTCTATTGTCAATATTCATCAAGTATAATTTATGTGCCAGGTGGGGGTCTCCACTCGATTTTAACAAGACATCCCGCCACTTCTTCCTTCTCCTTCTCCTTCCTCCCTCGTCCTCTGCTCGCCAGCTTCCTTCCTCGCCAGCTCTCTCACGCTCTTCTCTTCGGGGCTCGCGGGACCCGAACACTGTGCGAGATCAAATGACGGATGAATAATTACAGTATCCACAACCAGGGTTTTCTTCGCCAAAACCTATGGCGAAGAACCAGCTCGGTGGTGGGTCACCTTGCCATAACCTTGCCAAACCAAACCTGGTGCCATACAGATTTCACCCCTGGGTCACTTGGTTCAGAAATCATGCAGATTTGGTCAGATTTGAAAATAGGGAAAGCCATTGGTTTGATAAGGAGGACTAATAGCCCTATTTTTAAGGATCCCCCGCATGTATTATTTCAGAATATTTAGATACATAGATTTATGGGCTACCAGGGTGATTGTGCCTAGTTGGGTTTTGCTATAGGTCATTGATGGCCAACCTCTTTTTTTTTGCGAAATCAGAAGGGTGAATATCTATGAAATGACCACTGAAGATCGTGCTGATTAAATGTACTTGTTACTTGTTGCTTCTGTGTTGACAGTAGTTGACATTTTTTTTTGGCCTTTTCGGAGTGTTGACAGACCATTACAACAAGCTGCTGCTGATGATGAGGCTGCTGTTTTTGATATTGCTGCTACTCAAGCAGATGATGGGAATTCAGTCACGACTGCCCTCTGGTATTCTAACATCACTAGCTGGAAAACCCTAACTTTTACCGGGACATATGGGCTAATTGTGATTACCGGAGGGTATCACTTCCCACACCTTCCACTAAATCATAATTTCATATTGTCCTCCCTTCCGGTATGAGCCATCACTTTATCTGATTGGTGGTTTGGAACATTTTTTATTTTCTCATATATTGGGAATGATCATCCCAACTGACTTTTATAGTTTTCAGAGGGGTAGGTATACCACCAACTAGTTATATATGATATACTCTGATATATGGTACCACTTTAGATGTGATCACTTCCCCCATTTCGCAACCGCGTTGGACAAAAAACCACCGCCGCCCAGCCATCGCCCGCCAGCCACCGCCGTTGTTTGGCTGGCGAACCAAAGGGCACTACAACGATCTGCAAGAGGCCGCATGGCGCCGCCAAGTGCTGCTACTTTGGGGACTCATCATGAAACATTAGTATCATTGGGATATAATGGGGTATAAACAACTAGAATATGACCCCAGAATATCCAAAGATATCCAAAGCTTATTGCTGTCATGTCTGTGTTTTTTCAACTTTGTCACCATTGATGTGGATTAAAATATGGACATTCAAAGATCAGACAGCATGGAGATTTCATGGGTTTTTGACAGGCACAGCTGATGGGAAAATTTTTCCCTCGGGTAAACATACAAAAAGCTATTGAAAATGGCTCTTTATAGTTGATTTACCCATAAAAAACGGTGATTTTCCATAGTTATGTTAGTTTACCAGAGGGTAAGAAACAACAGTAAGGAATCAACCAATGAATGATTAACATGGGTTTGCCTGAAACATTGGTAGCAATTTACAGTGAAATTTCATGCCATTTTTTCCGGAACGGAACACTGATGATAACATATTAAAAATTAGGATACCATATTTTTGGACATACCCATCTTGGGATTATGTGAAGTTAGAACCCTACCATACGTTAAGCATTTTATCATATCTCACACTTCTGTTTGGGATTAGAATTCTTCATGCCAAAGATATTTAATCTACTACCCATCAAGTATTTAGATAGGCTTTCGAATGGGTTGTGATGAAGGTTTCCATATTGGATTGCAGAATTCGCTCGCATCATCACAGCAATTAGCATAATAACTCAACAACTCAAAAGTTACCCCTGGGTAATCTAACATAGCCATGGAAAATCGCCATCTTGACTAGATAAATCATCTGGTCATGATTGATTTTCCATGACTTTGTCAACTGACCAGAGGGTACGATTTCTTTGATTCCGAAGCTGGCAGTAGCAAATCCGTATCGAAATGTCCATCTATATATTTTTTAGATGGAAAGGTAGTTCCCAGCCAGCTTGATTTGACATGGCTTATATGACATCAAGGTTTTTTGTGCCTCGGTCATCTTGCGAGCAAAGTTTGGTGATTTACCGCCAGAACAGTGGTGTAGATCCACTGATTTCCAAGATTTTCAAAGCGTTTTTTTCCATAATATATGGGTTTGTCTGAAAATGTCGTGTACCCCTTTTTACCCAATGGTTTTGCTGATCATTATCCCTATTAAATGGCTATTTCATTGGGAATATCCCCTATTTTCAGACAAACCCATATTGACGATCCGGTGAAACACCCAAAATTTCACACATTTTATAGCGTCACAATCCCATCAAAGTCCTATGAAATATCCATAACAAAGCAGCAAAACATTGGAAACTGAATACAAGATTGTTTGAAAAATGTGGAAACCTATGAGAAATAACTGGAAAAACGCCTGATGAAATTTTATTAACACCTACTTCGGAATGGTTCCCCCCCAAAGGTAGGTTTCTACCTGTAACGGTTAGGTTTCTACCTGTATCGGTTTATAACAAGGCCAACGATTGGACTTCTGATATATCGAACTCGTATTCTATACCTTTGTAATACTATAATTACTGTAATACCTTTAGATAGGGAAACACGAGGCAACAAACATAACCAGGGGGTACCAAAGCAATATTTGAGCAGTGCAAAATCCCTCTATCATTCCATTTAATTCTGGTTGGTTTATAGGGACTCCCGTATTGGACTATTACAATCCCCAATACATTGGGTAGTATAATCCCTTATGATCATCAACCAACCATCATTTATCAGTTATACCCACTTATTTCGCTACATTTTAATGGTTAAAACATGTTAAAACCATATGAAATGACTACGATCATCAACCAGCCAGGGGCTTAGCAGCTGCTCATTTGGCCGGTGCCTTCAGGTGCTGGAGAAGCGGCAAGCAGTGCATGAGGCGCGTTTCAGATGTGTTGGAGATCAGCATGGCTCCATTTTTCAGTGGGAAACGGCATGATAAGCATGTTTCTTTTTGTTGGCAATTTGTGTGTTTTGTTTCTTTTTTATACCAAGAAGTTTGTTTTGATCATATTTTGGTTGGAAAAAGATCCGTTTTAAAACATAGTTTGTTGGGAAAACACATGAAACTTGCAAACTATCAGCTATTTGTTGTTGGAAAAACACATGGGATACATTCATGATACTTCTATTTTGTTGCCTGAAAAGCAGGACTTTACGTTTATTTTGGAATCGGAGCACTATCAGCCATGGTCATGGTGAGGAAAGCCACCGACTCGATGAATCCGTATGTGCCATCATTGATCGGTGAAAGTTGGGAATCGCCGTTAGATTTGAGGATTTTTCCATTCACGTTAGCCTCTGGTAAACGTTTACATAGCAATGGAAAGATCCACCATGCTAAAAAAATGGGAAAACTCACTATTTCGACTGGGCCATTTTCCAGTTCGCGAACTGTTAGTCATTCCCAGGCCGGGTAGAATTTTTCAACAATGTGAAATCCTGAATTGGACGGTTGGTCATCAATGATCATCCCAGGGGGGATTTTCCATAGTTATCTGGGTAAATTTGATCACGACCGAGCCCTGTTCTACTGGAATCCATGGGTTTTTATAGGGGAATCATCCCAAAATAGCCCAACATTTCAGGTTTGTGAATTATTATAATTTACCCAGAATAATGTTAGGATTCCCATGGCAGATATTTCCCATGATCAGGTGAGGATTCCATCGGAAATGTTAGGAGACCCCTAAAGACATGTTGCCAAGTTGTTAGAGACGTGTTTTGTAACAGGCATACATGGACAATCGCTGAATATAACATACATAAATATAATATATATATATGTGATATATACTACGGATATAGAATATACTGATATTTCCCAGCTTGATCTTTCGCTATATTGATGGGGAGAGATTCTGGTCAACTTAAGTTGCTAAGCATGACATTGTTCTTGTGGTTACTATATTAGTATCTATAAAGTTGGCAATGGTTGATGACCCACATGTAACCCGGATATTTTTCAGTGGGGATATTCATGGATATGAGGTACCCTTTAGTATTAACATAGCTAGTGAACGTCGCCCCTTGATTTCGATGATTTACTTATTGTATGGTCATATGGTCTTTCCAAAAATTCCTTAATCTCGGAAAATTTAAATACCATATGGTCATCTGGTGTTTTAATATGGTTACTTATATATTTTTCCACATAAATTCCCAGAGGCTAACTTTGGCGAATCTTTCAGGCTGCCGTCAAGCAGTACCACAAGCATTCGGGCGGAGTGCCTGGCATCCACGCCTGAGTGCCCAGCAAGTGGTGGGGGATGGGAACATTTGGGGATTCTCAACCATTTCTTAACCACCGAAATATTGGGAAAAAACATGTGGTCTGGATTGAATTGGATTATACAGTGGGACAGTGGGATTCATTATGTTGGTGTCCGAGAGTTAGCCCTAGTTTAGTTCACAAGGAAAAACATCGAGGTTTATGATATATATATATGGCACTATAACTGGCTTTTATGGGTTTGTAAAACAACATAAATCAACGTACCTGCCTGGCACCGCATTGTTATATTTATATCCCTGTTTGGAAGTGCGTCCAGATGTCCACCATTACACCGAGAAATGCAATACACTGGTAGTTTAAGAGTGCTCTGGAAAATTATCTTTTTCAATAGGTAAATGATCATTTTCAATAGATCAATGGGTAATTTGCCGTAATATTAAATTATCGCAGGGTATAGGTCACATTTTTTTGATTGTAACTGCATGGTTGGGAATCATATTTACAAGCTTAAGCAGGGAATCAGGGAATTGCAGACGCAATTCCATAATAAGTAGCTACTTAAACAGTGGTTACATCGAAACATGTTTTTCCCAATTATTTGCTGTGCCTTATTTTGGGTTAGGATGGACATATGTTTGGTGCTTGGTTTGGGGCTCAAACCAGTAGGATTGCAACAGAAACCAATCGATGGATACCCCGGAGTTTTGCTGGGCACATTGGTTTCTAGATAGTTTCAATATTACGTGATATCCCATATGATTAGAATCCTTATCACTTTTATATTCACATTGATAATAGTTAACCACCAAACATGGGGATTCAACATGCTTTAACTACCCCAAATGGAGATTCTTAGCCGTCGAAAGGTAGGGATTAGCCACCGTTGCTCAGGTTCGATGATGCGCCAGTGGAAAACGTGACCGTCCGCTTCGATGTGGAAGATGTAACGGTTAGCCGCCAGTAATCTGAAGATACTGTGGATGGGCCAGCGAAATCCGATCAACCACCAATTTAGGATGGTTTTTCAACCCAGGGGTTTAATAAACCAGGGGATACCCCTCCAGTAAACTACTGTGGAGGGAAGAAATTCACCACTTTGGATGGTTTTTCAACCCATCCAAAATAATGGGATGTTTACCAGCGTTTTCAACTGGTGATTCGGATTTCGCTGGCCCATCCACCGTAGCAATAGAAGATCCAGCCTTTAGAGATGATGTTTCCAAAAAAAAAAAGTCCATTCAGTTCGGGGATATTGCCATGTTTGATTACCCTAGGCTAGGATTGAGGTAGGAAAAGAGGGGATTTTTTTATGTGGATACAATGGGGATTTTTCATAAGACGAATATGCCCAACAAACAGAGATTTTGGGGTATCAACATAACTACCCTCTGGTAAACTAACATAACTATGGAAAACACAATTTTCAATGGGTAAATCCACTACAAATGGCCATGTTCAATAGCTATGTTAAGTTACCAGAGGGTATACTCTCTGGTAGTTTAACAGCTTGCTATCTGTTAAACTGCCATTGTCAATAAGACATCGAACTACATGGGTCATTTGCGATGGTAAAATCCAATAGATCATCCAGCCCCAGTTGTTTCTACACCCAGATAGAAACACTCAAGTCGACTCATCATATATATATATGGGAGCCGTCCGTAAAAGCAGGTCACAAATTTATGAATTGATGCGTTTACTTTGCTTTGCGCGATTGCTAAAACCTGCATCGCGATAGGCTGAGCGATTGGTTGGCGATTGGTTATACGGCTACCACCCTATTATTACTACTACTACTAGTACTACTACTAGTACTACTACTAGTACTACTACTACTAGTACTACTACTACTAGTACTAGTACTAGTACTAGTACTAGTACTAGTACTACTACTACTACTATTACTACTATTACTACTACTACTACTTCTACTACTACTACTACTACTTCTACTACTACTACTACTACTCGTACTACTTTTACTACTAGTACTGCTAGTACTACTAGTACTACTAGTACTACTAGTACTAATACTACTAGTACTACTACTACTACTACTACGACTACGACTACGACTACTACTACTACTACTACTACTACTACTACTACTACTACTACTACTACTACTACTACTACTACTACTACTACTACTACTACTACTACTACTACTACTACTACTACTACTACTACGAGTACGAGTACGAGTACGAGTACGACGACGACGACGACGACGCGACGACGACGACGACGACTACTACTACTACTACTACTACTACTACTACTACTTTCGAGACCAGAACCATGCCAATAATTGACATGGCCGCGCGGATTCCGCGCGCGCGGAATCCGCGCAGATGTTTTCAGGTCAGAAGGACATTCAAGCTAGCTCCAATTGAAAACAGGTCAGAAACAGGTCAGAAACAGGTCAGAAACACCAAAAAGGCAGCACTTGCCTAGCATCCCATCCATCCATCCATCCATCCATCCATCCACCTCAGCTCTTATCATTGCTACTAATACTACTACTACTACTACTACTACTCCTGCTACTACTACTACTACTGCTACTACTACTGCTACTACTGCTACTACTACTACTACTACTCCTACTACTACTCCTACTCCTACTCCTACTCCTACTTCTACTCCTACTCCTACTCCTACTCCTACTCCTACTACTGGTATTACTGTGAGTTTTCCGGACCGTTTCCGGACCGCGCAATTTTCTTTTCTTCTCAAATTTGAAATCGAATGCGTTCACGCATGGATCCTTACTCCCACTACTAGATTTGCTACTACTCTTAGTACTACCACCACACCCGCTGCTACTGCACCACCACTACCACTAGTACACCTAGGAATTTCTGCTCTTGCTTTTAAATCCAATTGACACAAGTTCCGCTGAAGGGTCAGAAACGAGTCAGAAACCAGTCAGAAACCAGTCAGAAACCCGTCAGAAACCGGTCAAACGCAACCATCTGTTTCCCCCTCCCTCCCTCTCTCTCTCTCTTTCTCTCTTTCCCTCCCTCTCCCTTTCTTCCCTTGCCCTGCTACTAGAACTCCTTCTCCTATTCCTACTCCTACTCCTACTCCTACTCTTACCCCTCCTACTATTACTACTACTACTACTACTACTACGACTACTACGACTAGTACTACTAGTACTACTAGTACTACTAGTACTACTGCTGCTGGTACTACTGTGAGTTTTCCGGACCGTTTCCGGACCGCGCGAGCCTATTTTGTTCCCAAATTTGAAATCGAATGCGTTCACGCATGGATCCTCATTATATAATACATAACTTATATTTTATGTATATGATCTGATCAACGAAGAACAAACCCTTCCGCGATTGCTCACTGTGGTACCGCGGTTGCTACGCGATTGGCTGAGCGATTGAGGGCTGTCCGGGAAAAGGTATTTTGGACAACCCCCATATATGTCTGGGTAAATTTGATCACGAGCTCACTGCGACCTCACTATAATCATAGTTAGTAAGGGGAATCATCCCCAAGATAGCCTTATTTCAGGTTAGTGAACTATAATAATTTACCCAGATATATGTGTTTTCATGTTTTTTTTCCTGGGAGTATCACAAGATTACCTGCAAGAAGCAGCGGGAACTGGGTGCATCTGGGTTCCGAGAAGTTTTTTGTTTTTTTTCCGGAGGGGATGAAGGGCCTCGAACGATAGGCCGATAGGCTGCTTTCTGGTGGAGATATCTATCATTAGAGGGGTATAAATAGCTTACAACTTGGAGGGCCTTCTTGTACCAAGTGGTGACTTTTGCATTCTTTGGCTATAGATGTACAATGATTCGATCATACACTTTGCTTCATACCCTGAAAGAGCCGAAGACCAGGTTGGCTATTAGTGAGACCAGCATGAACATTGGATGCAATAATGTATTTGTATAGTATGTAAATGGATATGGTAATATCATTAACATATACTGCAGCACTTTCCAGCAAGACACGTTCGATTACAGTACAAGCCAGAAGAAGCACCATCAGCTTGCTAAACTCATCCCGAGCCGAAAAATAGGGGGTTGAAATCGGTTGAAATAAACCATCCAGCGAGCGATAAAGGGGTACCAGGATCCATCCCGTCACCGACCTCAAACCGACCCAAGCAATAGACAAGTGGAGCTGGTGAACTGGAGTTGATTTCATGGATGTCTGGATGAGTTATAAACCAACTTACGAGTGTGTTTATCGTGTAAAACAGTGGGTATTTTGATGGGTATATTACATGTATATGTCATATGTACATATGTAGTATAATGTACATGCCCATACATACATCTACACAATTACGAGAGTCAATATTGTGATCATTTTCCCACGTAAGATAAAGAAACACCCTAGTTCACTTGTATGGTCAATAATTCAAAAATCCCTCCTCCCTATTATTAAAATTTCCTTATATAGACATCTTGGCTTAGTATCAGATCTGTTGATTTTTTGGGCCCGCTGTTGATTTTTGGGCCCGCATGGGGGTATTTCATGTTCTGGGGATGGGATTACTGTAATATACTGTAATTTACTTGGATGGTCAGTTGGACCCTTGATACATTTTGCGCAGCTTGGCCCGAAGCCCGCGACGCGTTAGACACAAATCGCGACACGACTCTTGCGGCGACTCGCCCACACTCTTGCTGCACCCAGGACAGTTCGAGGGCGTCTCGGGGTGAACTATTGGGGATTAATCCCCAATACTGTAACATGCTTGAACCATTAAAATTTGCGGGTTTAAAATTGGTTTAAATGATTTAAGATTTAGCTATAAAGATATTGGTAAATCAACTGATGAAGAGTAGTTTAGTAGATTTAGCTATCGAGAGATGGCTAAACCAACTGGTGAAGGGTAGTTTAGTACAACTTGATTTCTTGCCACAAATGAAGATATACACTTCCCAGCGGTTTAGCTCATGTCGTAGCCTTGAGATCGGGAGAAGCTGATGAATGGTAGGTGGCTTTTGTGGGTTGATTGTTAGCCACCACCTTTGGGAGAACAGCCATCATACTCAGCTAAAAATGGACTTGGTATCAAAGATTAGCCATGTACCCTCTGGTAATGACTAACATAGCTATTGAAAATGGCCATTGATATTGATAAAATTGATTTTCAAATTAATAGCAATGGAGATTTTCCAGTTCGTCATTAGTTACGTTTACCATTTTCGGGTATGTCATTCTGTTCGGTTTGAGGTTTGTCAGATCCGCGGATCCAAAGACTGGAAAGCATTCACCCATTGGGATAGCCGGCCTCGTAAAATAACTAATGATTAGATTGAAAGGTGATTATTGACTAAATCTATTAAACTACCCTGAAATCTATTGAATGGTGTTAGTCATTAGCAGAAATGGCTATTTAGATTTAGTCAAACTAACATAGCTAATTATTGAAAATTGCCATAGAAACAGTGGATTTACCCATTAAAAAAAGTGATTTTCCATAGTTATGTAAACGTTTACCAGAGGGTATCCTTGTTGAACCGGCACTGATTGGTGGATTTGGAACATGAATGGATTATGACTTTCCATAGATTGGGAATTTCATCATCCCAACTGACGAACTCATATTTTTCAGAGGGGTAGGTATACCACCAACCAGTCCTTATTGAACCGGCACATGTTTGAGGATTTGCAGTTTTTTTTTTGAAAGCCTGAAATCAATTGCACATGCATGCGCCAGTTAATGTGTTCCAGCAACTTTAATGAATACTCTCCAGGGGCAATAGAAAATGCTGCAAAAGCCGGAACAGCAATCTTACAGGAAGGGCCCTCCCTATATATAAATGGGTTCATGACCCCCCAACTTGGCATTCTGGTGACCCAACGATATATTCGTCACCAGTTCACCTTGTAACCTACTTGGTTATACCATTTGAAAGCGGCATTTCGTGAACTGAAGCCCAAGGGCCTTGTTACCAGCTGGTTCATGGCGGGTAAGTTGATCAGCTCATAGATGATAGCCCTGGGTTTATCATTTGG